GGTTGGTTTTGTTTTTCAGTGGGGTTTTTCTTGGGGGTGTTTATTTTTGTTGTGGTTGCCGTTGACTGATTAGTTGATTGGTTGGTTGCTTTTTGACACAGGGTTTGAGAACTCTCTGTGTAGTTCAAACTGGCCTTGAACTCACTACATAGCCCTAGTTGACCTCAAACTCAACAAAACCCTCCTGCCTCAGCCTCCCTAGGGCTGAACTTACAGGAGTGCAACACCATGCCTGGCTATTGATTTCTCAATAAATCTGTACAGAAGGAGGCTATTGAAACCCAGGAATGTCAGCAGCTCACAGTTAGAAGATGACGGTTACAGGGTTTATCTTGTGCTAAGGCTACGATTCTAAGACTCCTATACTTTGCAGAAATCCAGACTTGGCAATCACTGAGGGTTCACCTTGCATAGAGAACTTAATAAAATTCGTGTTCTTAAAACTGGCTGTTTGAGTGTAGACAAGGTGAAGGCTGAAGCGATCGGAAACCTCACCAGGCGCCCTTGGGTGGGGTTAGCACTTGCTTGAAGCCCCTGTGCACACCACGTGCCTGGGGTAAAACCTGTGCAAGCAGGAACCCAGCGTGGGACCGCAGGGAGCCCAGGCTACCACCCGCCCCGGGAAGCAGGCCCCCAGGGCAGGGTGGGGCAGAGGGGCTGCAGCCCGCCCCAGCCCGCATGGTCCCGGTGAAGCGGGGAGGGTGCAGTGCCCTGCTCCTGAGATGTCCTGATGACGGCAGGGACCAGCCCGCTGCACCTCCAGCCGGGGCAGCCCACGCCACTCAGCTCTGACCCAGTCCGCCTTGTGGCCCCTGTGGGCGGCGGCAGGCGGCTGCCGAGCTGAGCACGCTGCAGCGTGCAGCGCGGAGGCCGTCAGGGTGCGCTGCTGCCCCCTCGCCCTCCACAGGGACAAGGAAGCTGCCTGTCCAGCCCATCCACCACCTCGGCAGGTCAACGAGGGGACCCTGCAGGCAGAGGCGGTGGGTGACGTGCGAACAGCATCAGAGGAAAAGGGACCCTGGTCAGGGCGGGTGTGACAGGACGGCCTCAACCCTCTCCGGCCGCTTTGCTGTCCGCTTGGCTTTCTCTTCCTCCCGCCTCCTTCCTCTTCTGCCGGGCTGCGGGCGGAGGCCGGCCTTCACTCTGAGCCCCACCTCCAGCCCTTGGCTTTGAGACAGGGTCTCACTAGATTGCCCAGGCTGGACACGAACTCGGGATCCTCCTGCCTCAGCCTCCAAGCAGATGAGACTGCAAGCCCGATCCGCCACACGCAGCTCAGAACTGGCTTTTAAAGAGAAACTCAGGTTTGGCCAGGCCTGGCGCTGTGAGCAGGGCTCCCTGCTCTCCTGGGCATGAGCTCTTTTCTCTGGCCCCCTGTTTTTCATTTTTGGGGTTTCTTATTGTTATCAAACAGCTTTTCATCTCTTAAGGAGGCCTACGAGGTAATGCACATCTGTAATCTCAGCACTCCAGAGGCTGAGACAGGAGGATGGCTGTGAGCTCGAGGCCAGCCCGGGCTACATAGCAAGACCCTGTCTCAAAAAACAACGCAAAACAATTCTCAATTCCCTGGAGTCCTTTTCCTACCAATCAGCACACACTTCGGCGCCTCCCCTTGCCACAGTGAACGTATGTGTAGATATTTTAAGTGATTGTAGCACTCGCTATAATCAGGAAGAAAAGAAATTCACTCTTTTCCTCCATCTCACAGTGACTGTTTGCAGAGCTCTGTGGAGCGGCCGCCCCCATGGCCCGGCCGGGTGGGCACCGTGTGCCGGCAGAGGAAACCTCGGCACCTCCAACACAAGGCCGCTGTTCTCGTTTCAGGCGCAGACGGCCTCCTGCGGGGCGCCCAGGAGCTGGACAGCGTGCTCAAGCAGGGGTACCTGGAGAAGAAGAGCAAAGGTACTACGCAACGGAAAAGCCGGAGCCCAGGAAAGCGGGCAGCGCGTCAGGGGCTTCTCTGCCCCAGGAAGGGCAGCGTGTGTCAGCGGGGCGGCCCAGACCTGGAGCTGCCCCGGATAGAGCGGGTCCGGCTGCCCCAGTCTTCAAGGCCTGCTGTGAAACACACACACACACACACACACACACACACACACGCACGCACGCACGTGCGCGCACGTGGGATCCCAGCCACCTGGAGGCTGAGGCAGGAGGGTCACCAGGAGTTCAAGGCCAGCTTCAGCTATATAATTGAATCCCTGTCTCAAAAATGCAGAAAAAAAAAAAAAAATGCAGGAATAGGGCCAGGGATATAGCTCAGTGGCACAAGCGCCTGCCTGGCAAGCACAAGGTCCTGAGTTTGATTCCCGGTACAAAAAAACAGAAGCAGAAAGAAAAAGAAGGAAATTGATGCTTAATAAAATCTCTTGAGTGAATGAATGATACTCCTGTCTTCCCTAAGGAGGGAAACCATTTTGCCAACAGTGTGGTTTTTATATCGTATGTGAAATGGCCCACTTTGAAATTTCAAACAAGCCCAACTCTTCACCTTCATTGCACTCACGGGATTAGAATAGGTACTGCTGGACCTGGAGTCACAGGGTTGGCACCCAGCATAGCACACACAAGCACACACACAAAATACAAAACTAAAGCCAGGCATGGTAGTGTACACTGCAGTCCCAGCACTCAGGAGGCCGAGGCAGGAGAATCACTGTGAATTTGAGGCCAGCCTGGGCTACATGGTGAGATCCTGTCTCAGAAAACACAAAACAAAAACAAAACACACACATACATATATGTATATCCATGGCCTGGAATATTACTTTCCTTCCTCAAAAGCAGATGCCATAGACAGCCTGCCTCGTGCAGAGCACCTGGAATCCCAGCAACCTGGGGCACTAAAGCAGAAGAAACAAAACTTCAAGGCCAGCCTGAGCAATTTAGCAAGACTAGGTCTCAAAATAAAATTTGAAAAAGGGAGAGGGGCCTTGCCTACTGTGCTAGAGCCCCTAGGTTTAGTCTCTAATTCCTCAGGAAAAAAGAAAAAAAAATTTACACAATGTAATCATTGTGTACTACAAATACATACTATGCTTATTAAGCATAAATAAGAATAATTTTTTTTTTAATTTTAAAAAATAAGCCAGGTGCGGTGATGCACGCCTGTCATCCCAGCACCCAGGAGGCTGAGGCAGAAGGATCGCCATGAGTCTGAGGCCAGCCTGGGCTCCATGGCCAGTTCAAGGCCAGCGTGGACTACATAGTGTGACCCTGTCTCAGAAAAACCAACCAACGGGGCTGGGGATTTAGCTCAGCGGCAAAGCGCCTGCCTGGCGAGCGCAAGGTCGTGAGTTCGGTTCCCCGTACCGGAAAAAAAAAAAAAAAAAAAAAACCAACCAAGATGTGAAAAAGACATCATAGAGAATTCGGAAGGCGCAGGATGAGACTCAAAGCCAGAAGAGACGGAGGCAGCCGGCCCCGCGCACCGGGTCTGGGCTCCACGTCGGTGGGGGGACCCGGGGAGCGTGGGGAGGACGTCATAGCCCATTAACTGGGGAAACACAGCAACTCGAGGGGCTGTGTGCGGTGGGCGACTGCAGTTACCTGAATTTATGTCTCGGTCCGCGCAGATCACAGCTTCTTCGGGCCGGAGTGGCAGAAGCGCTGGTGCGTGCTCAGCCGGGGCCTCTTCCTGTACTTCGCCAACGAGAAGAGTAAGCGCGGGACGGGGGCCTCGGGGGCGGGCGCTCGGGTCCTCCCACTCTGCCGGCTCCAGCCAGGCCTGAAATAACACCGGCAAGGGTGACTAAGGCCTCCAGCTAGGGTTGTTTCCTTTGCAAAGGTGAAGATAGTGTGGTCCATTTACCAAAGAGTTACCGTTTATCATGACGAACAATGCTACAGTATCAAAATGGAATGTGTGGGCATTCTTCAAAGAAAAAAAAAAAAAATCAACAGGCACACGCCTGCCATCCCAGCTGTGGAGAGGCTGAAGCAGGAGGATCGCTGAGAGTTTGAGGCCAGCCTGAACTACACAGTGAGACTGGTCTCAAAAAGAAAAAAAACCTTAAACTAGGGGTGATAGCACACGCCTGTCATCCCAGCACTTGGGAGGCTGAGGCAGGAGGACCTCCGCATGTTTGAGGCCAGCCTGGGCTACACGGCAAGACCTGTCTTAAAAAACAAAACAAAAATAAAACAAAATAAAAATCATCCATTCCCACAGGGGCTTCTCGTGCGCTAGCAACTTCCTCGGAGGCCAGCGCGAACGCTGCAGAGTGGGCCTTTCTCCTTCCTTCCCTCTTCCTGCCTCTGCCCCCGCCTCCCACCCTGAACATCCTTGCTCTGCAGCTTGACGCTGCAGCCCGGGGTTCACAGACACCCACCCCGGCCGCCTCTGGACGCCCTGCGCCTTCGGTAGCAAGGGAGCAGAAAGACGGGAGGCTTTGCTCCGTGACCTGGGACCCTTCAGGTTTCTCCTAGCTTTGCGGCAGTCACCTCTCTCTGTCCCTGCCTGCCGCAGGTGTCCTGAATTTCATCTTCCGCTCACCATCCTGAGCCCTCAGAACCTCCGCGTCTGGGGTGAAGTTCAAGCCTCACTAGGAATGGACAGCAGCATACGTTCTTTGTTGTTGTTGTTGTTTTGTCTTTCTGAGACCGGGTCTCGCTATGCAGTTCAGGCTGGCCTCGAGCTTACTTTGTAGCCCAGGCTGGTCTGGAACTCACAGTGATCTTCCTGCCTCAGCCTCCCGAGTGCTGGGATTATAGGCGTGCACCACCATGCCCAGCCTTTGGAGTTTGTTGTAGTTTCTTTCTTTTTTTTTTTTTTTTTTAAAAACAGGGTCTTGCTATGTACCCCAGGCTGGCTCAAACTCCCAGCAATCCTCCTGCCTCAGCCTCCCAAGTGCTGAGATTACAGGTGTGCACCACCGTACCCGACTAGCCGCATGCTCTGAAAACTGTATAACACATCTCTTGTGCCTCTCTAACCTCTCACCCGCTCTTAAATCTGGCAGCCGCAAGTTCTCTTCTGAATTCTAGGCACATGAGCCAGCCAGCCCGGTACTATTTCCTTCAAACAAATTTGGCCTTTAGGCCGTTATAAAAATGTACAAATGTCCCTTGCATTTAAATCAGCGGCTGGGGTGTCTGGATAGAAAGCAGGCATGGTCCGCTCAGAGCCTTTCTACTCCAGGTGAGGGGGCGGGGGAGGAGACCGTAGGAGGCTGGGAGACTTTTATTGACCATTTCGCGTCAAGGTGAAATAAAATCTCGCGACCGCAGAAACAACAAAGCATTTTAGTGGCCAGTGAGAACAAGAGGAGATACTTCAAGAAAAAGGATTCTGGTGTCAAAAAGCACTGTTGCATGGCTCCCTGCTCGCCAGTTACTTCTTATTACGCCCTCGACATTTTCTCAGGGAGTTCAGCGTTTGTGGGTTTTTCCTAGCTCAACCAGGTGAGGACGGAGGCTTTCTGCTGCTTTGCTTTTCTTTTTTATTTTGTTACCCCACTGCCTTCCTCATCGCCACCATCATCCCCAAAAAGCTTCCGTCAGCCCTGCGTGGTGGCACACGCCGGTCATCCCTCAGGAGGACATCCACTCGGGAGGCTGAGGCAGGAGGATCGCTGTGAGCTTGAGGACAGCCTGGGCTACAAAGTGAGCTCAAGGCCTCCGAGTGCCCCCTGAGCTGCTGTCCCTCCTTCGGGGTGAGCGGTGCCGGCCCTGATGTCAACACCGTGACTCCGCAGTGGCCTTGGGAAGCTCAGGGCCCAGCCACACCGGGCTGCTGCAGTGGCCCCTGTCGCTCTGCCGCGGATCTTCACCTTCGACGATCCCCCTCTGTGCTCCGCTGCTGAGGCCCCCTTTGTGGCATCGCCTGGCTGTGCCGAGGCGGTGGGGCCCGCTGGCTGTCCAGTCGCCTCCTCCAAGCGTCCCTCATCACCTCCTTGACCGTCGTGGTCCCTAGGGCCGCACCACCGTCTCCAGGCTTTGTGCAACACGGCAGGGACGACGCCCCCCCTGGGCTGGCGCCGGGCTGGCGGGACTCAGGGAGCTTTGCTGTCTTGCAGGCAAGCAGCCGAAAGGGACCTTCGCCATGAAGGGCTACAGTGTCAGGATGGCCCCCCACCTGCGCAGGGACTCCAGGAAGGAGAGCTGCTTTGAGCTGACCTCCGAGGACAGGCGCAGCTACGAGGTAGGACGGACCGGCGCAGGGTCCCCGCGGTTGACGGGGCCGCGCTTCCTCCCGTGGGGACGCTGGCTTCGGACCTGCCTGCCGTCTGCGCACCCCTGCCCAGCTCAGCCCCTCGGGCCCTCGCCGGGGCACACTCCTCCTCCGTCGCCGCGCTGTCCTGGACGTGCCCGGCGAGGGAAAGGCCGTGTCTGTCCCCCACCCCCCGGCCGGTCCCGCGCGCCCTGCAGCGGCTCCTCGCCTCTCCTCCTCGCCTCTGGTCCCGTTCTTCACATTCCCAGCGGGTTGGCTCCACTTTCTCCCATGAAATCCGGAAAAAGCAAAATCTAAATTGAGAGTGAAAAATGCTGTCTCCCCCCACGTCCACCTTCCTGCGTGGCGTGTGTGGCCGCGCCGTGTCACTGGGACGGTGTCTAGGATGTCGGCGACGGCGGTCCCTCGGGCGACAGCGCAGTGAGGGACCAGAGCGCTCTGTGAGCGAGAGAAAGACTCCGTCCTCACTGCGTCCATGTTTTTATCGCTTGAGTCTCACTTCCTGCATTTCCAACTCATTATAAAATTAATTAAAACAATCAAAACTTATAGCTATGGGTACATAATGATTTTCACCAAAAATACGACATATATATAATATCCTATTCACTGGTCATTTTTATCTTATCTCTGCTTTACTAAAGCAATGCAGCAAAACTTTTGCTAACTTATAAACATGCTCAGATTAAGAAACCCTTTTGCTCTTTAAATTTTTTCTCAGCACCCAACTTTTTATGTTGCTACAGTATCTTAATCTTTATTTTGATAAGGTAGTCTACCTCTTCATTATACCATTCCCATAATTTTTTAAACTTTTAACAATTTTCCTGCAGAATCCTTTATAATACAGATATGTACTGAGTGTGTTTCGCATCTGTCATCCCAGCATTCAAAAGGCTGAGGCAGGAGGATCGCTAGGAGTTCAAGGCCAGCCTGGGCTATAAAATGAGTTCAAGGCCAGCCTGAAATGCATAGTGAAACCCTGTCTCAAAAAGACAAAATAAAAATAAAATAAAATAAAATTCTTATGAGACTTTATCCTGATAAAAGTTTATGTGAAAATCATAAGCCAGTATTCCTAGAAATTCGTTGCAGAGGTCTTTTTAAGAACTAAGCAAAAGCCGGGTGTGGTGGTGCATTCCTGTAATCACAGCACTTGGGAGGCTGAGGCAGGAGGATTGTTTTGAGTTAGAGACCAGCCTGAGCTACACGAAGTGAGCTCAAGACCAGCCTCAACTGCATAGCGAGACCCTGCCTCCAAAAGACAAAAAAAAAAGAACTAAGCATGATGGCGCACCCCTGTAATCACAGCACTTGGGAGGCTGAGGCAGAAGGATCGCCGTGAGTTCAAGAACAGCCTGGCTACATAGCGAGTTGAAGCCCTGGCTGAACTACATAACAAGACCCTGTCCCCCCGAAAAAGAAAAAAGAATGACAGTGTCTATTAATATAAGTATTGTGCAGAAGTCTGAGTTTCTTACAGAGCATGTATCTTGCGCTTATCCTAATGGGCAGATAATTAAAATGTTTTCAGGAGCATTTATTTCAAGTTGATTCATTTTTTGAAAAAAAAAAAAAAAAAAAGAAAAGAATTACAACAGCTCCGCGCCCAGCCGGTCTGTCTCGTGAGTTGGAATGTAGTTTACTTCCTCCCTTCTCCTCTCGGCCGCTGAATTGAAGCCGTCCTTACGGTCTGCGGGTTCTGCCTCCACTGTGTATTTCGGGTCTCTCCCGCCTCGTTCCTTCTCCTCTGGCCCTCAGCTCTTCATCCGCTGCTCTTCACTCTCCAGTGGAGCCGGCTGCCTGCTTCCCCAGACGCAGTGGCTCCGCAGCGCAGAGCCGTCCCCCTCCACCGCTCCCCCAGCCAGTTTCCATCAGCTCTTTATACAACTTCAGCCCAGACTTACTGCTTCAGCCTGCCTCCCCGACCTGCTCTAGGCGGTAATAATAAGGGTTTCCTGTCTCCAGCTAACACCCCGGCTGCCATCATAGTTCAGTGGTAGAGCACCTGCCTGGCACCCGCAAGGCCCTGGGTTCTATTCCCAGCACTGGGAAGAACAACACGAATACTGTCACTACCAGTGCTCCCGACGCATTTACAAATCACTTTGCTCCCTTTTTTTGTTCTGTAAACTTTTCTCAAATAAACGCCTGATGAAGGAATAATCAAATGAACACAAATATCTAGATTTTTAAAGCTGTTATCAGCCAGGCGTGGTGGTGCACACCTGTAACCCAGCACTCGGAAGGCTGAGGCAGGAGGATCACAGGGAGTTTGAGGCCGGTCTAGGCTACATAGTAAGTTCAGGGCCAGTGAGACCCTCTCTTTGAAAGAAATTGTTTTAAAAAACTGTTGTCTCTCCATATGCAAAATTGCTGAAGGGAAAAAATTGCTTGGGGTCCGCTGCTTGGTTTTTCTTTTTTTAATACTAATCAGGCAGAGAATCTGAGCCTTAAACTTGACTGAAAGTCGCAGGTTCCTTCCCTTGCAGCTCCCTATTAGGATTCGTGGATGTTTTAGTGCAGATGATAAATTAATTTGCTAATTTCTCTCTAGTTTACAGCTGCTAGTCCAGCGGAAGCCAGAGATTGGGTGGATCAGATTAGCTTCCTGTTAAAGGGTGAGTGTCGCTGGTATCGGGACTCCTGACCCTACACTGGGGAAGTAGAGTATGGAGGCCTCTGTGGGTGTTTTTCTGCCCACTCCCACCTCTGCATCCCCCCCCCCCGCCCCTGCATTCTAACAGCTGCAGTTCCGTGTGTCAATCAGAAGGTAAGGACCTCCTCCAGCTGGGGGCGACCTCTGATGCCACCCCTACTCCTACCACTAGGACAGGGAATCCCGAAAGCCAGCTCAACCCAATTTGCTGTCTCCGACCCCCTCCCACCCCTCCGCCCCCTTTGCACCTGGCCAGAGCGCATCAGCCTAAAAACACCACGCCTGCTGCCAGGGCCCTCTCATCTGCAGCAAGGTTTTATTGTGGATGAAAAGGACGCGGGGCCGAGGTTTAATTACAAGAACTGCGGATTCACCCAGTTCTGCCCTTGCTATCACAGAAACAAACGAGCGCGCCCTCCTCCCGCGGCACGCACGGCAGAGCGGGGCGGGCGCGCGCGGCCTGACGGCGAGGCGACGGGGCACACGCGCGTCTAGGTGCCTGGATTTATGCGTGTAATATACCCCGAAGTGTGTGAGCCTCCATAAAGCTCAAAGCGGCTTTATTGAGCTGTACCCTGTGGTACTTTCAGAATCCCACATTGAACAGATTATTCATCCCATTTTCCTTTAAAACAAACCGAATAATAACGTATGGTTTGAGCCACAAATGTATCTTTGATCCCTCCCTGCTATGAAGCGGCTCCGGAATCCAGGCGAAAACGGTGGCAGAATCTTTGTAGAGAGCCTCACCACGCCAAACGGCTCTGCCGGGTTTCACAGTGAAGGCTGGATGCCCCTCCATCCCCCCCGAGCCCGGGGGTGCCCCCGGCACCTGCCCACCCCCACCCACCCTGCTGAGGCCCCAGAGCAGGTTTTGGGGAGCACTGCGTCCCCCCAGGCAGAGCACGAGCCTTCTCTGGGCCCCATCAGAATGAAAACCAACCTTGGGGCTGCTCGGCGTCCCGGGGCGGTGAGCCCACTCCGAGGCCCCAGACCGCACGGTCCCGCAGACCCTTCCACTGCGCCGTGCTGTATTTTCCCACCGCCCAGTTCTTCTCCTCTTCCGATTTTGCCGTTTTTGTTTCTCTCTATAAACAAGCGGGTCTGGAATTCTGCAGCACGGTCATCGGGGAGAAGGGGTCATCACCTGCTGCTCCGATGTCCTGTGGAAGCCACGGCGGTCACCCCGCTCCCACGCGCCCTGGAGACCCCGGGCCACGGGGTCACCCCTGCTTTTTCTCCCCCGGGCCTGTTTGTGTCCCTCCGCCCGGGTTCGCGCTCACACACCCGCCTTTTAGGGCCGCTTTATTCTGACCCAGTCTTATCGCGCGGAAGGATTTACATGGATGGTGTAAACCTTGGCAGGCCCTTTCCTGCCCCCCGGGGCCTGAATTAGAAATAACAGCCCTTGGGGGCTGGGGATCTAGCTCAGTGGCACAGCGCCTGCCTGGCAAGCGCCAGGTCGTGAGTTCGATTCTCAGTACTGGAAAAAATAAATAAATAAATAAATAAATAACAGCCCTGAACCTAGCGCTGCATTTTTCTCAGGCGGACCTTAGCCCCCGCCCCGTCCCTGACGCCCTCCTGCCTTCTCCCACCCTGATTCACCGTTGTCTTTGTCCCGGCAGATCTGAGCTCTTCAACCATCCCGTACGAAGAAGAGGAGGAAGAAGAGGAGGAGGAAGCGGAAGGGGAAGAGACATACGATGATATTGATGGTTTTGAGTCTGCAAATTCTGCTCCCCAGGGAAGACCCGTTATCTTGCCTGGGAGCCTGAGGACCGCGGGGTCTACAGAGGAGAAGGAAGAGGATATCTACGAAGTCCTCCCAGGTGAGACACTGCACCTTCTCATTATGTCCTCCTAGTTTCAGAAACTCTGGGCCTAAGCCAGGCACGGTAAGGCACTTCTGTCATCCCAGCACTTGAGAGGCTGAGGCAGGAGGATCTCCAAGAGTTTAAGGCTAGCCTGAGCTTCATAGTGAGTTCAAGGCCAGCCTGGACGACAGAGCAAGACTTTGTCTCAAGAGACGGAAAAAGCAACTCTGGACCCGGTAGAAGAATATAACCTGGAACACTTCAAAGGAAGCCGGATCTAAATGTCACCCTCTGAAGGAGAGAACACAGGGAAATATGACCCCACTAGACAGATGCTGAAAATTTGATCAAAGAGTCTTTCCTCCCTGCTTCCTGCACTGATGGATGAGGTGCTTCCCAAGGCTGAAGGCTCCGAATGCTCATGTTGGCTTTCGCTGGTTTACCCTGAGTTCGGGGCTGGACCGGCACAGCTGCAGTTGCAGCTTCTTTCCAGGGGAATGTTGTGAAGGACAGAAAGCGGCCTCAGAAGTATGAAGGATCCCAGAGCCAGACCATGGAGGCACACACCTGTCACCCCGGCACTCAGGAGGCTGAGGCAGGAGGGTCACGAGTTCAGGGTTAGCCTTGGCTACATAGGAAAACTCTGTCTCCAAAAAAGAAAAAAGGATAAAGCAAGTCTACACTGCGGGTCTCTTTTCTCCCCCCAGCAGGATAAGCCAACATCACAGAAAACAGACCTCGCTGTATCCACACAGCATGGAGGCGGGGTGTGGGGCGGTGGAAACTGCACCTGAGTCTTTAACGTGAGGTCGTTAGACCCCGGGGGTGCTGAGCTTCAAGCCCGTTCTCAAAGAGCTGCTGTGGAAATTTGCCAGGAGTCAGCACTCTGCTAAGAAATTCAAGTTAAGCCTAAATTTATAGCAACGTAAACCACCTTCCCAGATGAACCTAGGAACCTAGGGATCTAACACTCAGGCCCCCAAGACAGGCTGGTCACTGAAGGCGTCATCGGTAGGGAACTTGGATTACAAAGCTGCCAAGAGCAGTCAGGGCCACAGGCCTGGGTTCTACATCCGCCTCTTCCCTGGGAGCGAAGCCACTTTACTGGGACCCCAGTCAAGGAGCAGGGCTGTCAAACCAGGCGTGGTGGCACACACCTGCCATCCCAGCACTCGGGAGGCTGAGGCAGGAGGATCACCGTGAGTTCAAGGCCAACCTGGGCTACATACGGAGACCCTGTCTCAAAAAACCAAGAGAAAAGAAAAAGAAGCAAGACTGCGGCTGCACATCCTGACCAGGAAGAAGCGGCTTCCCCCAGCCTCTGCCAGTCCCTTCCCCAGCCTTTTTCTGTTGTGTTTTATTATGCAAATGATATCTTGGTGGAGGTCGAGCCATTGCTTGTGTCTGACGTTGAAAAAAAAAATGATAATTTCCTCAGCAAGTCACCGTCGTTAATGAAGTTTTACAAAAACAGATACAACCGAAGGAAAATAAAATTTCACAGGTGATAAATTTTTCCAATTTCCCTGGCAGAATTCGATAGGATTGTTAAATTAAGAGTGAAGGTGTCTGTTAGAAAGCAACGAGCGGTGATGGGTAATTTTATAGAGTGGAAAATTGAATCAAATTGCAACATTAAAACATAGCTCCTCTGAGAATCTTCCCTCTCACAGCCTGCTCCGCCGCAACAGCAGGGTGCAGAGATGGAGCTCATTTACCACGTCTGCTCCCGAAGAGGAGATGCGCTCCCCGGCTCAGTCTGAGCACTCCCAGAGAGCTCCGGTCCCCGCACTTCTGCGCTCCTGCCCAGGCATGGGCACCGTCCAGGCGCTGCTCCACCGAGGGTCACAGCTGTGGAAGAATGCACTGGGGAAATCCCACTGAGCCACTCTGCCCTGTGGGGTGCAAAGAAAAGGTCTTATGATGCCTGCGTGGTGGTGCTTGGCCTGTAATTGCAGCACTCAGAAGGCTGAGGCAGGAGGATCTCTGAGAGTTTGAGGCCTGAACTACACAGCCAGAACTTGTCTCAGGAAGGAAGGAAGGAAGGAAGGAAGGGTCTTCTATGCACTTGTGTAATTCTCAGAGGGGCCGGGGAGGAGAGCACTGATACTCACAGATGCAGAAAAAAGGGAAAGAGCCCACTGAAAATGCATCCCAAGCCGGGGCCTCTTTATGCGCAGTTAGCGAAATAGCAGCTGGCTTCCCGTGTTTCCAAAGGATGACGCTGTCCCTAGCTCATTGTTCCCTTCCTGAAAACCTCATCACAGGTCTTAGAGCCAGCGCCCAAGGTGGGCTGGGCAGGCGTTTAATTACGATATGACTGCTTCAGCCACACATCCCACTGTTTGTCTCACAAGACCACCAACTAGCTGGGCGTGAGGGCACACACCTGTATCCCAGCAGTCTGGGAGGCTGAGACAGGAGGATCTCAAGTTCAAGCCCAGCATGGGCAACTTCATGAATTTAGCAAGACCCTGTCTCAAAACAAACAGAAGACGCTGGGAAGGAGCTCAGAGTGAGGGCTCTGAGTTCGATGCCCGGCACCGCAAAAAGAAAAAAAGCAAATGAACAAAAAGACCACGAATAAGCAGCGGTATGCGAGTGCGTGAGGCAGCGCCTTGTTGCAGAAGCCAAGCCGGCTGCGAGTCGGGCTGGGTCTCCGTGCCCCGGCGGGCTGAGAGGCCTGGGCACACTCCTCTGTCTCGCTGGCTTGCAGAGCAGGGGCGACAACAGCGACTCCGCTGGAGGGGCGCGTGGAGGGCCTAGCTCTGAGGCATGGGGACGTGCCGGCTGTCAACCACGCACGGTGGCCTTTCCATGGGAAGCATCACCTCCTTGAACAGTGGGGGAACGGCTAGGTCCATGCCCTCGCCAACGGGCTGGAGCGTCCAGGCGGGCACTGGCAACAGAAAATCCGGAGCAGATGGAAGAAAGAGCTCACCTTCTGCTCCGGCTGGTTTCACCGTGCGGCCAGGTGCTGGATGGAGGGAGACGGCTAGCATCACATCTCCATCGGCAGCGGCGGCTGGGCCTCGCATTCATTTCATGACAACGGGAAAAGGTGCTTTGTGAAGGATATTCTCTTTTTCTGTTTTTGAGACAGGGTCTCAAAGGTAGCCCAGGCTGGCCTTGAACTCATGGCGATCCTCCTGCCTCAGCCTCCACAGTGGTGGGATGACGGGTGTGCGCCACCATCCCGGCCTGGGAAGAGTGCTTAGCGCGGCGGTGCTTCTGCTAAGCCGGGCCTTTGGAATGGGGCCCACACAGCCCTCGCTGTCTCCGTGGGGAAATTGCGCTCCCGGAGTGTAGTTCACATAGAGAGGAGTATGGAACACACACACATCAATAAAAAGTGTTTTTCCTAATTCAGAATAATGTATGGGTCATCAGATTCCATCCACCCCACCACATTCATCACAGGGAGATCAGCATTTGCTGCGTGGAGAGTGACCCTGTCCCCAGGAGGGAAAATCAAGCGCTCGGGTTTTCAGCCGCACCTTAAAACGGTCATTCTGGACGAATATGGTTTCACGGTGGATGTTCTCTGAGGTTTCTGAGCCTGCGCTCAGGGGGACCCTTCACTTTTGGGGATCCGATGGAACTGCAAGATGGGCCGCGAAGAAAGGCCAGGGCAGTGCATGGAAAACCGAAGGCCTTTCGGAGCCCTTTCTCAGCTCCCGGAGGTCACTCACAGGCCTGGCCCGGGATTCCAGGTGCCCCAGAAGGCCAGCTTTTAACAGCCCACGCCTCGGGGCCTCAAGGCTGGGACCCGGGAAGGCGTCCAAGGCCGCTGAAGAGCTGTCCCCGGGCCTCGTGGCAGCCACCACGGCAGCAGCCGTGTCCTCCGGAGATCTCAGAAGAGCGGGAACGGAGGGACAGTGCTCCGGAGACTGGGCGTGTGCTCAAGCTGCCCCGCCACCGGATCGCTTTAGAATAAAGTGTGGGGCTGGGTTCTTTAAAGTCAGAAGCAAGCATTCCGTGGAGTTGTTTCCCTCGGTGCCGCTGTCCAGACCCCTGGGAAAGGGACGGGGGTTGAGAGTCTAAAGAGAAAGAAAACAACACAAAGTGACGAAGAGACGGCGCCGCCACCCCGCAGCCCGGCCAACAGCAGCTGGAACCAACCCTGCCGGGTCTCCCACCTGGAGTGGCCCCGATTTCAGCCACGACAACCCCCTCCCACCACACACATCCTCTCACCTGAGTCCCCCAGCGGACCCCCTCCCCTGTCGAGCGGCAATGAAGCTTTATTTCAACCCTTATCTCAGCGATCTGTACTCCGGTCTTTCTCCCCAATTAGTAGATGCTCAGTTATTATTTGTGGAATTAAATTCAAAGCATTTTGAGCGTTGCCATTAGCACAAATTGAGTTTAGATGTAATATACCCAGGCCGAACCTCACCGTCAGGATGCGAGCATTTTGAAATAACATCTGAGATTATCTCATACACAACCGAGAATTAAATTGCTATCGGCCTCTAGCTTGCATTTTCTATGCTGTCTAAAGAGCACCAGAGCCGGGCCTGGTGGTACCCCAAGCTTGTCATCTCAGCACTCAGGAGGCTGAGGCAGGAGGGTCGCCTCAGGTTCAAGGCCAGCCTGGGTTCCATAGTGAGTCCAAGGTCAGCCTGAACCACAAAGCGAGGTCTTGTCTCAATAAATAAAAGACGAAGAGGGCCTCTAGCATCCTTTCTGCGTGCTTGCCTTGCACTTCCGAGTCTCTCTGCGTTTCTGTTGCATCTGTCGCCAGAGCACTTTGACATCTGGCTGCACACCAATACACTTGGCACCCTTGAAGCTTTTGTCACGCGGCTTTGTTTGGGGGTTGTTCTGTGTGCTGCGGGCGCAGCGGCTGGCGCAGGGCTGTCAGCGCAGCGCTTCAGAGAGGAGCCAGGTGTCACGAGAAGCCGGCTCCCCTCTGTCCCTCCTGGGTGGCTTCGGGTCCTGTCCTTCCAGCCCCTCATTAGTGAAGCTGACCTTGTGCCAAGATTGTTGATTGCAATCGACTCTCGGGCGACGTCTGCGACGCTCCACGGCTCCCTCCGTGCTCGCTCGGCTCACGGAATCTTCTTCCAGTTTTCCCAACTGAGATGAGATATTTGGAAATCAAGCAGAGCATTTAATGTAATAAGTGGGCAGTAATCTTTAGAGGTTAATTTGTTTAAAACCTATGTAAGGTTGGGGTCCCCTATGCCCAGTTAGGACCAAGGACCATTATAATCTATTACTGTTTAAAGTTGAGCTAGCACATAAATTTTAATTCGCCCTTAAATGAAGATGTATTTCAGTTGATGTAATACGAAAATGCCTAATAATATTCTTAGAAGTTCAATGAGCTCTTTAGCCTAAAAATGTTTGAAAATAGTCTTTTAAAATTAAAACCTCGTGTTACAGACTTAACAAAAAAGAAAGTAAGACATTTAGCTAGCTAACTCACTCCCTTTTTCAACCAGAAAGACTTTTTTTTTTTAACCAGGCATGGTGGTGTACACCTATAATCTCCAGCCTCGGGAGGCTGAGGCAGGAGGGTCATGGAGAATTCATCTGGACTACATAGCAAGACTCTGCATCAAGAAGCAACAACAAAAAAAAAGACGTTTCCCCCGCCCCTGTTGCCTTGTCTTGAGTTTGGAGTTTGAAAGAGAACAGTTTGGTTTCCCGGGAGGGTCTGAGATAAATTGTTTGCTTGTGGCAGTGTCCGTCCTCAGGTGTCCAAGGCCCAGGAGCCAGAGCAAGGTTCCTTGATCTGAGCCCACTTTCTGCCTCCCAGGGGGGATGGCGTTGGAGAGAATGGATGTGGGGACCGAGGGTCCCCCCTTTTTTTGAGACAGGGTCTCACTTTGCAGTTCAGGCTGGCCTTGAACTCACTGTGGAGCTCAGGCTGGCCTCGAACTCACAACCATCTTCCTGCCTCAGCCTCCCGAGTGCTGGCATGCGTACACCACCGCGCCCTTTCTAATCCGTCACCCCCAAGCCAAGCAGTGGCGACACATGACATACAAGCTCCGTGGCCAGCATTTCTCCTTCTTCCTAGGTAACCGTAAAGGTACACCAGAAATCTGAGTGTCTCAGGGGGAATCCAGCTGCACGGAGCACATTTGTATTTTTTTTCTCTTTTTGAACCCTGACTAGATTAAGTGCTGTCGCCTGAAAGGATAAAGGAATCAAGTTTGCGTTTTCATTTTTTATCATTGCAAATACATTTACATTCTCCTTTTTTACAAATGCAAAGAGCAGGCCAGCCACTTTCAATAATTTATCTTAAAATCAATGCTAATGAGGTTGTGTCTTGTCAGTGGGCGAGTTTTACAATAAAGTCTGATTTATTTAGAAAAGATCTTTGGCGCGGCTTCCCATCTAACGGTGGCGGGAAGGAGGTGGAGTGGCAGCACGGTGACCCTCCAGCTTCGAGTCCAATTTGTAATTCACCGCGGAGATCTGACCCAATTTACATTGATTAGAACTGGGAGGGAGAGAGCTGCACAGACAGCAGAGGCGGAATAAACCTCTCCACAGAAGGGGCTTCGTGACTGAGCTGCTTGATATCAGCAAAAGAGCTGCCCCCGCCAGAGCGCCTGGGTGTCCCCAACATGAGGGTGGACCCCCTCTCGCGCTAATGGCTTCCATCCCATAATAGTAGCCCTGCATCCAGAAGGAGAAGCAGCTGAGCAGAGGAAGGAAGCAGACGTGTAATGAGGGGCAGTGTGCAAGGATACTGTTTCATGGGATTTAGTCCAGCGGGGTCTCTTTCCGATATCCGAGTGCGCTCTATCATCGCCTCTCAGCCTTGTTCCCCCGGTGGCCTTGGCGAGCGCTGCAGGTGGGGCTAAGAACCGTTGGGCCAAGCGGGGCCTGGTGGCGCACGCCTGTCATCCCAGCACTCGGGAGGCTGAGGCAGGAGGGTTCCTGTGAGATGGAGGCCAGCCAGGGCTACAGACCCTGTCTCAAAACGCGAGGGGGCTACCCCAGACCATCTCCTCAAAGGTTCCCTTTAGTGCCAGAACTCTAAAGAAATAGGCAAGCAAGTAGCATAAAACCTAGAAGCAGAAAGGACCAGAAATGGAGCCAGGAAAATCTGAGTATTCAGCCCTCAAAATATTGCTTCTTATACCCTACCCACAGACGGGGTGTGTGTGTGTGTGTGTGTGTGTGTGTGTGTCAGAGAGAGCAGAGGTGCTGTAGAAAGAAGAGCAAGTACCTTTTTGCTCATCTTGCCCTGTACATAAGATAACTAAGTGTGATCTGGACCGCACCCCGTCTTCACAAAGGCCCGCTTCCTGCGGTATCCAGTAGGGTGCAGCCTGTGATGGAACAGGTTCATGGGGGGCGGTCCGTGGCTGGAGTTAGACCCCAGCCCCACCTTGGAACCCACGTGGGTCCCCGGCAACTAGCTAAAAGACGGTTCCAGCTGCCCTGAGGAGCACGTCCTCTAATGAGCAAGGCAGGCTCAGGACAAACTGTCAAAAGATAACTCCACGCCCCGAGTGCTAGGGACGTGAAGTTCTGTACGTGGCCGCCCTCCGCCGGCAGCCGAACAAAGACGGAGACATCTAGGACTAATCAATCGCGGAGGGGTGAAACGCCCGCTTCCAGCCCCGGGCACACAGGCACGCCCATGTCCTGCTCGTGAGTGCTTAAAATCAGAGAGGATGCCTGCACGGAGGCAGTAAGTGTGGAGAATTCCAGAAAGGAGGACAAAGGGGCTTAAGGCAAAGGGCGAGGATTCTAGTGGCAGGCACGTCAGCAGTCCACGGCGTCAGAGGCTTCCGCAGGCAGGGACCGTGACAGCCTTGTCTCTGGCCTGTCCCCAGTTCTTAAAGCTGCACTTTGCTTATAGTGAGCCCTTCAGCATGTTTGTAAAAGAATGAACAGGGCTGAGCGTGGTGGCACACACCTGTCATCCCAGCACTGGGGAGGCTGAGGCAGGAAGATCATCGCGAGTTCAAAGCCAGTCTGGGCTCCATAGTGAGTTCGAGGCCAGCCTGGGCTACAAAGTGAAACCCTGTCTCAAAAATACCAAAAAAAGAACAAGAGAGAGATAGTAAGGTCAGACTCGGTGGCGCATGCTTGTAATCCCAGCACTCGGGAGGCTGAGGCAGGAAGATCATCGCGAGTTCAAAGCCAGTCTGGGCTCCATAGTGAGTTCGAGGCCAGCCTGGGCTACGTAGAGAGACCTTGTCTCAAAAAAAAAAAAAAAAGGAAAAGAAAACAGAATCAAAGAGAAGAAGGCCTGATTGAAGATGAGAGGTGATTTTCTTAAATGCACTAAGTGAAAGTCTTCTGAGGAGAGTGTGGTTGCTAATGCTAGTTGTTTGTCCCTTCAGATGAAGAGGTTGGCCTAGAAGAGGACGCACGTGGGACCCCGCGAAAAGGAGGTACACAGGCACCCCCATGCCCAGTGCCGGGTGGGCCACTCGGGCTCCCGGCCAGAAAAGGCACTGGGGTCAACAACCCCAAGTGCCCCAGCTAAAGTGAACGGACAGGGTGACACCGTAACTTTGAAAGCAGCGTAACAAATGCTCCCGGGAGCACTGTCGATCTAGCCTAGAGAGGTGGAAGCCAAAGCAGGTATTTATTTTCCCCTATCAGTATCTCTTGAATCAGTACAGCGCAAATAGAATTGCCTCATCTCCGAGAGATCGGGGGACGGAGACGGAAAAGAATGGCAGTGTCTCCTCGCCGAGAGAGACACTTCCCTTGCAAGTGCAGAGGGAGTGGAGCTGTGTCAGCTCTGACGCGGGAGCGGAGGCTGAGGGACAGAACTGTCTGGCGAAGCTGACTTCTGACGGCCTGGTTCGATTCCAGGCACATTTGGAAATGAATATGTAACAGTTCTGTTGAATACGGAATTGCGTCTCACTCATCCCAGGCTGTTCAGCGGGCAGCAGGCTGTTAGCCGGCCCTGCTCCCCGCTCAGGCGTCCCCGGAGCCTCCTGGGGGGACCCAGGGCCCCGTCCTGCAGCCTCAGCCAGGGATGCTGCTGGCTGCCAGGGCCTCAAAGGACGCATCTTCCACCAGCACCGCCCCAGTCAGGACTGATTTAGATACTCGTGGACTTTTTCTTAGAGTCTACGAAGATTGAAGCGTAGGAATTCCTTTCCCCTTTCCCTCCCCGCTCCCCCTATTCTCAAGCTTTACCTCTTCTCTTCTCTCCTCCTTCCGCCTTTTCTTCTCCTTACCCGTTCAGCAGCACCCCAGCACCTTTTTTTAATCGCTGCAGGAGGTAATCTGAAAAGGGTTAGCAAAGGACCTAAATTTGTGAGGCCCAGTTTCTCCCCAGGGAGAAAAAAGACATCAGAGGCCAAGTCAGGAGTTGAGAGCAGAGAAGCCGGGCGTGGTGGCGCACGCCTGTCACCCCAGCACTCAGGAGGCTGAGGCAGGAGGATCGCTGTGAGTTCAAGGCCAGCCTGGTCTACATAGTGAGTCCTTGTCTCAAGAAAAAAATCCAGTTTCAGTCTCCTCCGTCGTTTCATTTCCTCCTTCTGCCTTGCTCTGAGTTTATCTCTGGGAGGTGAGCAAAGTCTCATTTCTTCATTGTCCTAACAGGTCTAATTCAGGTAGGGTTAAAGAGGAAAGAGCGCAAAAGGAAACCCTTTTGTTCCGCTTCCTTCCTCTGCAGTAGGTGTTGTTAAAGTACAGTGAACTCTAAATATGTTTCCGTGGTTTATTCTCCCACCCGTTATGATGATTGGTGACTTAGTGATTAAAAAAACGGGAGGATTTTTCGCTCTGTCTGCAGAATCTGAGGCGGGGATTTTTATTATTTGTGTTTACTTATTTATTTATTGAATTTATATAGTGCCTTTCCTCCAGAAGAGCTATAGAAATGGCAACAAATATGTACCATCCGAATGTCATCACTTAATTTTACAACAATAAAATACCAGGGTCTGGAGGAAGGCAGGCAGCCTCGTGAAGGCTTTTAAAAGGCTGGAAGCTGGGCGTGGTGGTGCACGACCGTGACCCCAGCCCTCCGGAGGCTGAGGCAGGAGGATTGCATGAGTTCAAAGCCAGCTGGGGCCACACAGTGAGACCCTGTCTCTGAAAGGTCTCAGACAAGCTACACGGGCAGGTTCACTTCGTTCAGTTTTTCTCAGAGGTTCTGAGTCTTCGGAGGAAAAAGAAGAGTAAAGCGAATGAGGCTCTCTCTTCTTTTCTGCTAAGGGTCCTGTGGCTGGCAGGGTCACCTTTAAAATCCAGGTTCTTTCCTGAAGCACCTCATGGATCCTGTCCCTGAAATGGTACGCTTGCTCTTCCCTGATGGAGCTGCTGCCGTGTTTATGGGCCAGCCAGATCTTATCAGAAAGCCAGAGGAAGGGGGGGAACCCAGTTTACCCTTATCGAGTGGTAATGACCCTGCGTGATGTGATTTCTTTTATTTTATTCTGTTACCTAGAAAATCTATCACAGCCTTGTAGTATTGATTGTTCAATCTCTAAAGAGCTCGGTTACAGCGTGACTGTTAGTAACAGGGTTATTTTAATGAGTGATTCTTCAACACCTCCCATTTTCTCTAATTTCCAACCCATCAGCCTAACCACCGAACAGGAAGGTCCTGAAAGCTCCTCTTCCTTCCTTCTCAGGCAAAGGTGATGTCAGGCTAGGCATGGTGGTGCACGCCTATCATCCCAGCACTTGAGAGGCTGAGGCAGGAGGATCACTGCAAATCGGAGACCAGCCTGGGCTACAGAGCAAGACCTGTCTCAAAACAAAACAAAAGAACACAGCCACACCCACTTGACCTCCATAATAGGAATAATGACTGGGCCGGGCATGGTGGCAAATGCCTATAATCCTAGCACTCGGGAGGCTGAGGCAGGAGGATCATTGCAAGTTCGAGACTAACTGGGCTACAATTGAGCTCAAGGCCAGCCTGAACTGCATAGTGAGACCCTGTCTCAAAAAGACAAAAAAAGAAAAAGGAGTAATGATTGATCTCAGAGAGTCTGGCATTGAACGACAAATGCTTTTGCAATAAGTACCTGGAAAACAAAATAGCTCTATTACTTTTAACCTGTGCACGGCTCTGCCTGTGACATTTTGTTTGCTTGAAGTTGAGCTTCCCTTACATGGAATAACGAAAATAAGACCCCGCCCAGCACCTTTTTCTCTCCAGAAAAAGCCCTTCTCAGCTCTGCTGGCAATTTCAATGCAGCTATCATCTCATTAGCTCCTCCATCGCTGTAATTGTTGTTAATTGTTATAACTGTTTTCGTTATTAGTGGTGTCGTTATTGCTCTAGGTCCTCTGTCTGTTTTATGCTGAATATATTAGTGCTTTGCTTTTGAATTACCAGGCGTCATTTAGTGTGGAGTTACTTTTTTTGTGGGTCTTTTTTTTTTTTTTTTTTTGGAGAGACATTGAGAAATGCTGGCATTAAGCTTTATTCTTTTGTTTTTCATTCCAAATGGACAGCCTGGAAAAAAAAAATAATTAGATGGAATAATGTCCTCAAAATGAGAATGGGGATGTTTGGAATTAATTAAATGGTCAGAATACCACACCGTCCTGGTCTCAGGCTGCTGCCAGAGCAGTGTAAACCTACAGAAAGCCAAATCCAACCCGCAGAGGAAGCCTCACTCTTGGGCTCCGGATTCCTCTCATCTCTAAAAAAATCAGAGTCCAATCCCAGCAGTCAGGAGGCTGAGGCAGGAGGATTGCTGTGAGTTCAAGGCCAGCCTGGGCTACATAGTGAGATCCTATCTTAAAAAAAGAGTCCAAGCTAGGTGTGGTGGCACACACCTGTCATCATAGCACTCAGGAGGATGAGGCAGGAGGATCCCTGCACATTCAAAGCTAGTGTGGGCTCCACAGGGAGACTCTTGCCTCAAAAAAAAAACAAAAATTAATAAATAATAAATAAGTCAGAGTCCACATGCACCTGCCAATCTGAATGACAAACTGAGTAAGTGAGGGGAAGAACGAATTCACCCTGCAAACTTGGGAACCCTCAGACCCTTGCTGGGGGCCGGCTTTGGGACTGGAACCCTCCTGGGCTTCCTTCTGCCCCATCTCAAGGTCTCTAAGGGACACTCAGCAGGAGATGTTTCCTAATTAAAGCTAACAGTTCATGGGGCTGGGCATTTAGCTCAGCGGCACAGCACCTGCCTGGCAAGCGCAAGGTCGTGAGTTCGATTCCTGGTACCAAAAGGAAAACAAAAGCAAACAAACAAACAAAAAATAAAGCTAATGGTTCAGAGAAGCCTTCCCTGGACCCTCGGACTAGGTTAAATTCCTTACTATATGTAGCAGCTTAGACCTCTTTGCAGAGACGCTGCGATCTTGAGGCAATAAAGATTCATGTAACTGTTTCGAGGTGCTTCTGCCGCTAGATGGTGGTCTCGGGAGCAGGCTCTTTGTGTGACCCGCATAACCCCTGACATCTCATAGGGGCTGTGCATAAGTTTTGGGGTGCCAGGGAGTAAGTTAGTGAGGTTGTAGACGCACCACACTAACACCAGTCACAGGGGTTCAGCTGGGAATCTGATACAGAGTCTAGCCTTACCCAGGTAAAGAGTTACACCTCAGTTAAACTGGGCGTGGTGGCGCACACCTGTCATCCCAGCACTCGGGAGGCTGAGGCAGGAGGATCGTCTTGAGTTGGAGGCCAGCCTGGGCTACATAGTGAGACCCTGTCTCAAAAAGCAAAATTTACTCCTCAGTGATATCCTTCATACCTCTACCAGAGAGAAGGTTCCATCCTTTCCCAGATTGTAGCCTTTTGTTCTGTTTATTTTTCTTTTTTCTTTTTCTTTATTCTTTTTTTTTTTCTTTGAGTAGAAAAATTTATTAGAGAAATGGAATGGGGATTGGAGTGGAGGACTGGGGACTGGGGGCAGCGCTTGCGAGACAGGACGGGTCCCGAACGGGCTGCCTTATTCTGCTTACTTTTCACAGCTGCCCGGTACTGGCTCTACTTCCAACGACCCCCGTCCCTGGGTGAGACTGTTGGACTCCTGAACACCAAAGGCTTTTTCTACCTTTATTTTCTCTTGGGAGACTCTGGTTCCCTCCCGGCCTCCCACTTTCCCTGTGACCTGCAGTGCAGGTCTGTCCCGGGTGTTTCCCCAGGTCCGCACGCCCAACATCAAATCGCTTCCACAGATGTACCAAGAGGTCCCCAAAGTCTTAGGAGTCGGCCTACATTTAGGCACATTGTAGGGAGCCGGCCCTCAGTGACTGTCTACTAGGCCAGAAAAGTCCCGTATTTTGCTTTGTTTTGGCTTTTAGGGGCTTTTTTGTTGTTGTTGTTGAGGCAGGGTCTCACTGTGTAGTTCAGGCTGGCCTTGAACTATGTAACCCAGGCTGACCTCAAACTCACAGCAATCCTCCTGCCTCAGCCTCCCAAAACCCAGTCTTCTTACCATTCAGAAATATCATTAGGTTTTAAAAATCTATTCTCCTTCTTCTTCTCCTCCTCCTCTTCCTCCTTCTCCTCCTCCTCCTCCTCCTCCTCCTCCTCCTCCTCCTTCTCCTTCTTTTTTTGTCTTTTTGAGATAGGGTCTCGCTATGCAGTTCAGACTGGCCTTGAGCTCACTTTGTAGCCCAGGCTGGTCTCAAACTTGTAACGATCCTCCTGCCTCGGCCTCCCAAGTGCTGAGATTACAATGTGTACCACCATGCCAGGCTTGTTTTGTTTTTGCATTTAAGATTCCCACTCAAGTTCTTTCCCAGAGACATCCAGGGATTTGTTCCCTGAGCCTTTATTGTTTGAATTGCTCCGAAGTTAGGAAGAAGTAGGGAAAAAAGCAAATAGAGCCAGGCCCTCTGCGCCCCTGTTTCCTCTTGGCCCACCTCTGTCTTCAGAAACCTGCTCACGGGAGGGGCCGAGCAAATAAGGAAAGGTGGGGATTGGTACAGCCGAGTCCCCAAAAGCCGCACAAACTTCGCTGCAATCCAGGACTCCCGGTTCGGCCCATGCAGCCTCCCGGGAGGAGGGTGCGGGTCTCCAGTCCGGCTCCTGGGCATCCCGAGGACCCAAGCGTAGCCGTGGTCCAGTGGACATCAGGTCTCCCGCCATCCACATCCCCAGCCCCTCACCCGCTCCGCACTGGAGTGTTTAACCTTTCCGGGTAGAGGGGATCAATACGAATCCTCCGCCGCAGGAATCGATGGCTGTCCTTTGCCATCCAGGCTTGCTGAGAAGGCCGGTAAATCTCTCCAGTGCTTCTAACGCTGGGTTTGTCATCTTCTGCTGCTTTCATTTTTAATGCAGATCGCTTCACTTTCTGTTCCCCCGGGGGCTCACGGATAAATCTCAGCAGACAAGAGACGCTGGCAGCGTGCCAGCCCACCCAGAATTCGCTCGTAATGGATGAGACGCCCCCACGGCTCCACTTAAAGCCCAGCCCCCGGGTCCGTGTCTGTTGGTGATTACCTCATTCGGTACCTGGGTGGGATGAGCCTGGATGAGGCTCCCGCATCACGGAGGAGGCCAGGATGCCAGCGGAAGTGCAAAGTGTAAACAGACAAGAGAGGGGCGCAGCCGGCTCCCCGGGTGCACAGCGGAGGGATGAGCGGACCCTTCAGACCCTGGACCAAGGAAGTCTGGCGGGAAAACTCTTTGTGTGGCTTATTTCCAAGCCCACTGAAAAATCACCTGCCTGATTTTCTTTTATTAGCAAATAAATAGATTACTAGATTGTCGAACAGCCTCCTACTAGGGGTGACCTGTAAATATTTAATGTTAGTTAATGATCTCCTGCTCCCATAGGCCTTTGCTCCCGCCGAGTGGCACTGTCTCATCTGGACCCCCTGAATCTTTGGCTTCCTAGGGACGTAGCAGACCCCTGGTTTCCATCTGCAGCAAACTGTGGCTCTTACAAAAGACGGGGTGCTTTTTTAACTTTGCTTTCTCTTCTCTCTGATCAGTGGATTATGCCAGTTATTACCAAGGCCTGTGGGATTGCCATGGCAACCAGCCGGATGAACTGTCCTTCCAACGCGGGGACCTCATCCGCGTTCTGAGTAAGGTACGGAGATGGGGCATGGGGCTTGGACCCAAAGTGGATTTTTTTTTCACTTTTTTTTCTTTTTTGTGCTGGGGGTTGAACCCAAGGCCTTCACACTGAGCTACATCTCTTTCCCTACCACCACTACTTTTTTTTGTTTTTTTTCAAAACATGGTATCATAAGTCCCTAAATTGCCCAGAGTGAGCTTGAATTTGCAATCCTCCTGCCTCAGCCTCCCAAGAGCACTGGGATTACAGGTGTGCACCACTATGCCCAGCTGATCCTTTCACCCTCGATGGAGTGATCACCAAAACCAGAATTATTCCCTGTGATGACACCTGGCTGTGTATCCCGTGGCTCCCCCACACACTGACTCAGTCCCCAGTTATTTATAATTGCGAGGGGACAGTTTCACTGAACATTCAAATTCAAGAATCCATTTCCAAATTTAAAAATACTGCCAGGCGTGGTGGCTCACGCCTGTAATCCCCTCAATTGGGAGGCTGAGGCAGGAGGATTGCTGTGTGGGCTACAAAGTGAGTTCGAGGCAAGACTGAAGTACATAGTGAAACCCTGTCTCAAAAAGACCAAAAAAAAAACAATTGGCCTAACCCTAAGATTGTGTTCATCAAGCCAGATGCAGTGGTACATGTCTGAATCCCAGCACTTGAGAGGCTGAGGCAGGAGCATTGCTGTGAGTTCAAAGCCAGCCTGGGCTGCATAGCAAGACCCCGTCGGAAAAATATATATATATAGATATACATATATATACATTTATACATATATATGTATGTTTATCAAAATGTTCTCTTTTTCAAGGTCTGTGATATTTAAAGGGCACCACTGTGTACATAATTTATCATACACTCCCACTAAAAGCAATCCAGCTAGGTAAGCTGCCTTATTCCATTTCTAGATAAATGAGACCATAGTATAATTACCTGGGAGGCGGAGTCAGAGCAAGTTAGCCCAGTTGGTTTGAGTGAGTGCTGGTAATGCTAGGATCGTGAATCCAATTCCGCCAAGGCCAGCCGCAGCTAACGTCATTCTCTTTCTCAATCGTAAGTCCATCCCTCTACCCAGCAGGGCCATCTCCCAAGTACCACTGTGGATTGTAAGGACCAGGGGTTTTTTTAAAAAATGCAAAAGGCCCCGGCTTCAATCCCCAGGACTGGGAGGGGAAAAGAATTATTTCTGATCCATTTTGATGTGAAGACGATCCCAAACTCGTGGGGCACAGTTTGAAGGATTCCGGGTAAAGGGACCTCGAGCATCCCACAGGCGGGCTGGGATAACAGGTTCTGCTCCTGAAAGAATTTATTAAAAGGCCTGGCTCCCTCAGCAGCAAACATATTTTTGAAATAGGCACAATTTTCTCTTTAATTGCTGACTATGTGAATTCCATAAAAGAAAATCGAAAACCCACCGTGTTATTAAGCCCTCATTGACCGTGTATATGCTTTGAGCGTTATGAGAAGCTCAAGGGTCCCTCTGGCTTTGAAAGATACAGCGAGCTCCTTAGGAAACGCACAGATCCTGGCCCAAAGCACCTGCCGTGCTCGCAAAGAACCAGGCCTCTGTAAGTGAGGGCTAAATGCAGGCCCGGCCCTCCGCAGGGGAACAGAAGCCTCCAGGCGCCCGGAGGGAAATCTCCATCTCCTAACGCTCTCCCCCGGGTCCCTAACTCAGCGCCACCTCTGTGTCACATCAGTGAGGCTCCGGGACACCAAAAATAAATTGGGAATGGACACCGGCCTGATGGGTACTTCACACGCCCGAGAGCGAGGCTTGCCGGGTAATCGAATCTGTGTACATTACCACACTGGCATTCCAGGGGTAATCGAGTTATCCGCTCAGGTGTGACCGGGCCTGTGTTTGCCCAGAGCCTGCAGGTGAACACATGAACTGTTTACATTGTCTGGAGGAGCCTGCGGCGGAGGGGGCGGAGGCAGGCTGTCTGCTGCCCTCTCTCTCCGTCATGATGATTTTGTTTGTTTTGCACGTCTTTCGCCTTTGTTAATGGATTCTCACTGGGGGTCCCTGTGCTCCAGCTAGAAAGGGGCTGTGCGGGACCTGCCCTGCCGTGCCATGGAGGGCCCTCCGCGCCTCCTGTAGCTGCGGTATTTTTAAGCCATTCCGGAGAAGGTGAAGGAGCCAGCCCCACCTGTTTTTTTGTGTTTGTTTTTTAAACCAGCCTTTCTCCTTCTCCATCACTAAAAGAGAGTATATCAGAGTTTCATTCAGTAGCAAGTGAGCTCGCTGCCGTGGCTTGTCAGCCTCTTTCTTCATGCTTCTTGAAGGTTCTGAGTCCATTTTCATCACTTACCACGGTAGCGTTGCATTTCTTGTGTTTGGGTTTCTGGTTGTTGCTTTGTTTTGCTTTGTTCTGTTTTTGAGATAGGGTCTCCCTAGGTAGTCGAGGCTTGTGGCCTTAAACTGCTCTGTAGCCCAGGCTGGCCTCAAACTTGTGGCAGCCCTCCTGCCTCAGCCTCTCCCTGTGCTGGGATTGCAGGCGTGCACCACCACACTCGGCTCCATTTCTTCCTCCCAAAGCCTATCCCAGCTGCGTCGTATGCACGTTGCTAATCCCTACACAGCAAAAAAGAGAAAGAGAAGCCAGGCACTCAACGGAACTTTCCCTTACAAAGCTTCATCGCAGTTCACGGAGATCTCAGCCCGGATTCACCCTGATCCTGTCACCTGGCTCAGAAAGGGTCTTGGGACAGGAAGGGGGCAACCGAGACTGCCCCGCCCCTGCACTGGCCTCTGAGGAGCACACCGGAAGCAGTTCAGACTGATAAAGGAGGAGACCCTGTGGCCACCCCCACCAGCCGCTCTTTAGAAATCTTGCCACTCCTGTCTCGAATTGTCTCCGAGTGTGTCCTAAATTCCTGCCACAGTGGCCCTGGCCTGTTCCCTTTTTGGCGTCAGTCACCCCCTGCAGCCTGCCTGCCACACCAGGATGGCCAGAACCGACCCAAGCCAAGTTCAGTGCAAGCAGACGGTGTCCACAAAGCTTTGTTCTCTCTCCAGCCAGCAGCGCCATGGTCCAGCGAAACGGAGAGGCCGCGTAGGACCTGGGAGGTCTATTTCCTGACCTACACAGCTCACCTGGCCCAGGTTTGGTCTCCGCCCCCGCAAGGCTCCTTCCACCTCTGTGATCACAGCGGCCCGATACCGCACAACTGCCAGAGAGCTCCCGCCCAGAAATCTGCCTTCCCAGCCAGGTGTGATGGCACACACCTGTGATCCCAGCCCTCAGGAGGCTGAGGCAGGAGGATTGCTTACAGTGTGAGCCCAGCCTGGGCTACAAAGCAAGACCCTATCTCAGAAGAAAGGAAGGAAGGAAGGAAGGAAGGAAGGAAGGAAGGAAGGAAGGAAGGAAGGAAGGAAGAAAGAAAGAAAGAAAGAAAGAAAGAAAGAAAGAAAGAAAGAAAGAAAAGAAAGAAAAGAAAGAAGAAGAAAGAAGAAAAGAAAAAAAGAAAAAGAAAAGAAAAGAAAAGAAAAGAAAAGAAAAGAAAAGAAAAGAAAGAAAAAAGAAAGATGCCTTAGCTGGCATTATTGACTTGGTTTAAACTAGAAAAATTCTAGCTACCAGAAAATTCTTTTGTCTTCAGCCCTTACAGAGATGTGGTTTCTCCTTCCTCTTTGTCTCATAAGAGAAAGAGAGGGAAGAGGAAGCTGGGCTGGAAAAGGGGAGGCCCCTGGGTAGGGAAGTGGGGCAAGGAGCAGGGGAAGAGGGGGAGTCTCCTTGGGGGCCTGGGCCCACTGCTTCCGGCGGCTTTAGGGGTCGGTTGGTTTGTTGTTCTTGGGAGCTGAACCAGGGCCGTGAGCAGCCTAAGCAGGTGCTCCACCACTGAGCTGCAGCCCCAGCCCGCTTTACATTTTATTTGAGACGGGTCTCACTAAGTTGCCCAGGCTGGCCCTAAACTTGCTCTCTTCCTGCCTCAGCCTCTAAGTAGCTGGGAGGACAGGTGTGCGCCGCTGTAGCCCACGCTACTGTTTCCTAAGAGATACCAAGTAGAATCCAGCCTTGAATCCTGGGATCCCAGGGCCAAGGTAAGGAAATCTAGTCTGGCCTTTGGGAGTGATCCCAGGAAGAGAGACATTTTTCCCATTCTGAAACAAAACAAAATAAACAAACAAAACCCACGAGCTCTCCAGAGAAAATGGTTGGCTTAGGGCTGGGCAGGACCGATGCTCCCGTAGTTATCCAAATGCCCGTTACCTGTCCTGCCCTCAGGGGACATAGGTGACAACAAGAGGGTTATTGATGTGACTCTGGGAATAGCTACTGAACCTTGCTAATCCCCCATCTCCTCGTCAGTAATGAGCAGGGTTTATTTCTACCCATGCAGCTGTTTGGTGCTTCCTGGAGAGAAATGCTAGAAAGAAGTGCCCGGCACCCAGGAAAAAGAAACTGCTGGGGCTGGGGATTTAGCTCAGCGGCAAAAGCGCCTGCCTGGCAAGCACAAGGTCGTGAGTTCGGTTCCCGGTACCGGAGAAAAAAAAAAAAAAAAAAAAGAAACTGCTGTATTCCTCTCCTTCCACTAAAAGAAAAGTAAACCTTTGGATTAGCATTAGACACATACTAGATTTCAAAAAAACATGGGTGATTTAAGAGAGAAAAAAGGCAGCTGCTGTATTGAGGACTCTTCCTCGAGATGTCCCAAGGCACGAGAGACTCTCATTTCAGTCTCACTTAGTACACAAGGCTATCCTTGAACACACTGTGTAGCCCAGGCTGGCCTTGAACTTACAACGATCCTCCTGCCTCAGCCTCCCGAGTGCTGGGATAACAGGCGTGTGCTACCACGAACAGCAACCGTGCTTTGCCTGTTCTGAGCCATTTCATCCCCAGCGTCGGAGAGACTCCTAAGTCTCCTGGGGCCGTGCACCTGAAGCTGCGCGCCTGGAACCGAAAGCACAGTCAGCAGAGCCCCCGCTGGCCGGCGAGCATCTCTGCATTTCGGGCCCCATATAGCTTGCTGCCTGCTTTATTCACTGACTTCCGATCTGG